CAGTAATTATCAAGCCCACAACCCTCTTGCTTTGGTTTAAAGCCTGACTCACTTCTTCCAGTACTTGCAAGCTTTTTTCAGAATACCAAGGTTCTGTGATACTCAGAGAAATAAAAGAAAAGCTGGCTGATAGACCTTCGTAACTGACATGCCAGTTTTCAACACACTAACACAATTAGAAAGTATACAATCAATACAACATACATTAAATACTGTAGAGGAAACAAAAGTAATTTTAACTTGACAATTAAGAGCCTTGACACATGTACTACAACTTGTTTGAAATCCAGATCCTGTCCCAACTTTATCTCTTGCTAACAGAACATCATAGAGAACTGCAGCTAACTTCCAAATATGTCTCTGAAAATGTCCAGATCCCACCTTCCAAATGAAGACTATTATTTCCAATATTGGATTGATTTCTAGACCAGTACATGATTGAGTCTGAATAACTGGTCATGTTTAAGGAAAATACAAAAGTCATTATAACTTCCCTTTTTGATTCTCTGTCCAACAAGGTCTAAAAACTTGAGGCAAGGCAACTTATCTCATCAGGGGTATAGGTAAGCAAAGGTGGACATATATAGCTTGATCATACTAGCACTTTTTGTCCTGGAATACTTTTATTCCTTACCACTGTGGTAAAGCTTGTCTTTAACAACATCAACATGATGGCTGCCAAAGTACATGGCTTCAAACTGGAAATGGACTCCCAGACAGAGTTATTAACAGGCCGGAAAGCCAATGACAGGTAAGATTCTGCACAGAGCCTTATCATCCTAAGACAGAAGTGCATTGCTTTTGGTAATGCATATTTTCATGATGGATAAGGAAGGCATTCTAGGCAGAACAACCTAAGACAGGCTCAGTCTTGTCTATGAAATAAAAAAGGGGGAGAGTCAGAGAGCGTTTGGGGCTGCTTGTCAAGAATCTGACATGGGCCAGGACAGGGAAATGGACTGCTTTGCAGGAATATGATCTTAGATATTCTGATGGGTGTATGTTTGTAATCTTAGAGTTGTGATTTGCATTTCCCTGATGAGTAAGTACTTTAAGTACTTCTAGACCATTAGAGATTCCTCTCTTGAGAATTCTTTGTTTAGGTCTGTATCATTTTTTTTTCAATTGGGTTACTTGGTTTGTTTATGTCTACATTCTTGAGTTCTTAATATATATCAGATATTAGTCCTCGGCCTGATGGAGGGTTGGTGAAGTGCTTTTTCCATTCTATATGTGACTGTTTTGTCCTGTTGATAAAGTGCTTTGATTTACAGGTTTTGGTTTGTTTATGTCTACCTTCTTGAGCTCTTAATATATTTTGGATATTAGTCCTCTGCCTGATGGAGGGTTGTTGAAGACATTTTCCCATTCTATATGTGACTGTTTTGTCCTGTTGATGAAGACCTTTGACTTACAGGTTTTCAGTTACATGAGGTCCCATTTACTAATTTTTTTATCTTACTGCCTGAGCTACTGGTGTTCTGTTCAGGAATTTGTTTTCTGTGCCAGTGAGTTCAAGGCAGCTCTCTACTTGCTCTTCTTTTAGATTTACCTTCTGATTTTGTTCTTGTTGTTATTTGTTTATTTTTTAGCTTTTTTATTCATTTTTATACATAAATTTTACTTATTCAGTTTATGTCCTGCTTACTACCCCCCTCTTTTGTCACTCTCTCCCAAAATCCTTCCCCTCATATCCCTCTTCTTCTACTCTCCACACACTGGGTATCCCCTCACCCTGGCATGTCATATTTCTGTGAGCCTAGGCAATTGTTCTCCCACTGAAGCCAACAAGGCAGCCCAGCTTGAATAACATATTCCACATACAGGAAATAGTTTTTGGGATAGCTCCTGCTATTATTGTTTAGGACCACATGAAGACCAAGGTGCATATCTGTTAATGTTAATATTTTAAAACAGCAGCACCCAATCTATTGTGTGGGGGCACCATCTTCCCAACTAGGCAAGGCCTGAGGCCATGAGCAACCATGTGTTCTCAATGTTGCTTGGCTCAGGCCACCGGCTCTGCAGGCCAGATGCACTGGCCCTGCCACCCGTGAGACCTCAGTTTCTTGCAGTCCCATTTATCAATTGTTGACCATAGAGCCTCAGCCAATGGTGTTCTATCTAATGAGTTGAAGGCTATTTCTCACTTTCTGTTCTATAAGATTGAGTATATTCAGTGTTAAGTTGAGATCTTTGATCCACTTGGACTAGAGTTTTGTGTGGGTTTCTTTCTCTAACAGTAGATGGAGACAAATGCTGAGACGCATAGCCAAACATAAGGTGTTTCCCAGGGAGTCTTGTAGAAGAGTGGGGGATAGAAGTGAGCAAATGGAAGAGGTCAAGGACACCACAGGAAAAAAACAGAAAAACAGAGAATCAACTTAACCAGTGCTTATAGGTCCTCATAGAGTCTGAATCAACAACCAAGGGACTTTCATGGGACTAACCTAGGTCTTCTGCATACATGCTAGAGTTGTATATCTTGGTCTTCTTGTGGGACTCCTAAGTCTGTGTGTGTGTCTCTGTGTGTGTGTGTGTGTGTGTGTGTGTGTGTTGTCTCTGACTCTTTTACCTGCATTTGGGTTCCTTTTTTTCTTTTGCTGGATTGCTTTGTCTAACCTCAATATGAGGAGAGGTATCTAGTCTTACTGCAACTTGATATGCCATGTTTGGTTAATATCCTTAGGGAGTATACCGTTTTCTGAAGTAAAATATTGTAGGAAGGCATGTATGGTGAATAGGATTAGAAGTAGTAGCCTGGGAATTATGGACAAAGAAAATCGGTTTCTGTACTTCACATTGTGAACCAGAGAGCCAAGGTATTTGAAAGAGGAAACAAAAAGGCTCTCAGGAATTTTATTTGTAATGTCACAGATTGAAATAATTCAAGGAGATTAAATGGTTAAGAGACTTACTCTCAAATAATATCTCTTTACACCTTCAGAGGCTAAAGCATCTTATGACTTTCTCTCTCCCTCCTTCCTTCCTTCTCTGCTTCCTCACATTTTTCTCTTCCTCCCTTCCTATTTGTGTGTGTGTGTGTGTGTGTGTGTGTGTGTGTATGACTGAATGAGTTTATGAGCATGACATGCATGTCTTCAGAGATCAGAAGAGGGTATTACATCGCCTAGAACTAGAGATAAATGTTATTATAGTTGAACCCAATTAAGGATACTGTATTATCTTCTCTTCTTCACCTCTCAGGTGTGGTTTCTCCTCTCCTTCCCAGGCATAGTGACTATCTCTCCTTCATCCTTGCCCAGGAATCCTAAAAGTCTTGCCTCTGTCTCCCTGTCCAACCATTGGCTGCCACAATCTTACTTACCAATCAAAACAACTGGGGGCAGGGTCTCTCAGTCTTATATGCTGGACACTGCAAGCAGGTTTTTGAAAAACACCTAATTATCATGAGAATATAAGCAGCTACAGGTTATTGTAGACCACCCAATGTGGGTGCATGGAACTGAACCTAGGTCTTCTTCAAGAACAATAAGCACTCAACCACTGTGCCATCTCTCAATTCCCTAGAGGCTTTCTTTTGTAACTGTTAATTGATTTTTTACCTAAACAATTTCATACATGTATAAAGTAGGCATTAACCACTCCCATCTTAACCATCCTCCATCTTTCTACCATCTCTGTCCACTCTCATAAATTTTTCTCATGCCCATATCTGTTTATTTTGTTTGTGATCTGCATGATTTAACGAGGGTCTCTTGTGTTACTGTAGGACTCTTGCTCTCTATTGGAACACTGTGGACTCTGTAGTTGGTACACAACTAGAGACAATAATTTCCCTCTCTCAGAATCTATTAATAGTTTTCAGGGGTAGTAGGTACGGCCCTATTAGCACCTGCCCATTACTGTACTGATGATCACACATCTTGCATGGGTCCAATAAAGGTACCTTCTGTTGTGAGTTAATGATTGCAGTAGCTGTATGGAATTTTTGAAGCCCTTGACTATGCTTTCTGCTTTTTTGCACCCTTTACCCTTTTCTGTAATGTTGCATAAGACTTTGAGGGGGGGAAATGTGTCTATGTCTTGGTTAGTGCTAAGCCTACAATTATCACTTATTCTCAGAATCTTGGGTGGCCTTGAATCTGTGTATTCACCTGCTATCCAATGTAAGAATACTTTCTAATGTCCTCCATAGTATGTTCATAGACATTCCCTGTGTGAATACTGGAAGTGGATGGCTGGTTTAATTTTAAGAAAAATAATGTGTATGCTTAAAGAAAATTATCGTAACTTGGTACGATGGCTAGAATAAACTTCAATTCTCTGATTAGGAGGATAAAGAAGACAAATGCTGTAGTTAAAAATGTTTCATTCAGGAGATAGGCTTACTGCTCATGCTGTCTTTGTACCTCTTTCTTCTCTTAATAAAAACATTTGAATATGTGAGTTCCCTAACAGGAACCTCAGATAGTGATAGTCTTGCCTATTCCAGAAATCCAAATGGTCAGTATAGCTGATTCCTTTGTACCAACTTCATTTCTTATGCCTTAGATTTGATTAAAATACTTTTCTGTTGCTATAATAAAATAACCAGACAGAAAGCAGCATAGGGATGAGACAGTTTATTTTATCTTATGGTACCAAAGAGATAAGAGTTCTTTGTGGTGGTAGAGTCATACCAACAAGAGGGGATGGAAAAACATGGTGATAGGAGCAGGAAGATGGCTGGTCATATTTTCAATCACACACAGGAGGAAGAGTGAGATCAGCAAGTGAGGTGAGACTATAAACTCCAAAGCCCACCCTTAATGATGTACTTTCTCTAGCAATGTTCCATCTTCTAAAGGTTGCATAGCCCCCTTCAAGTAGCACCACCTACTGGGGACCAAGTATTGACATATGCTAACTTACGGAGGACATTCCTAGTCAAAGCTCCACAAGTGATAAGCAATCCAGAAATTAATCGAGGAAGAAAGATGAAAACATGAGGAAAAAAATCCAACCTCAACCCAAAGTAAGTGCACAGGAGAGGGCAGAGCAGTGGCCCAAGTGTCTGGAAAATTAGAATTCAGATCTATATTTGAGAACCAAGTACCCATAGAAAGACAGAAGGAACTGAAATGAACATACTTGAAGTTCAACTAGATGATACATGGGCCTGTTTGTAGTCTATGGAGATGAACAGACTTCACTTAGGGCAAGGCCATGAAGGCTTCTTGCAGATCCAGAATGACTCAGCTAAACAGCTCATATCATTCCATCCACCATTTGAAAATATTGCACAATCTTCATTGCCATCGTTGTTGGGTTCCTTTGCAGACCAATAGTTCCTGAAATCGAACACCCAAAAGAACATGAGCTTCTTTCCCAGCCCTATCATGCCAAACTTCTCTAACTTCTGTCACTGGGATCATTTCTTATCTGTCCCATGTGCATATGGAGGTCATACTTCACTCAGACCCTGATAGCATGCTTAATTTATTTCTCTGAGAAACCAATATTCTATAACACTGTATTCAAGAGACTCAAATTGTGAAATTGAGGCAGCATCATCTTAGGTTTTGCAGAATCAAGCAGTACTCTGGACAAATGGCAAAGCAAAACAAACAACTGCCATGAGATTTGATGCAAAGTAGTAGTTTTTATATTCCTCACTACATTTTTCTGTCCCCCTTTACTCTGCATTGGTTAAGTTCTTCAGCAAGGTACAATTTTTCCAGTATTTAGTGTAGTCTTCTCCCCAAATTCTACATCCTATTTTTTCAGGACATAAAACCTTGTTTAGCAAATATCCTGGGCATTGAGATTCCTCTGTCCACCATCCCTGATACATGGTCCCAGTCAATTAGCAGATTCTCTGTAACTTGCTAACCCTAATATAAATGGAGAGTGCCTAGACAAGCAGCAACCAGCTGAATTCTGCTCATGTGTGGTTGTTGGATGACCTCTAAGCATGCCTCTTACTGAAAACGGGACATTATGACATTTCAGATCCCACTGACGTTCCAAACTAGCCTGATATACAATCCTATATATTTCTTTCCATAGACACCAAAAGAAGAACACTGGTCTTAATCCTCCCATCTGTTTATTTTCATGTTCTCCATAGTATGAAGCAATTCCTTTGCAGCTCTCATGGTATCATGGATCTTTATGCCTGACAAATTGTATTTTGAAGGCAAGCATAATCCTATGTCTCAGATTATCTGTGCATATCGTGCAAAACACAGCCCTTAGAGAAAACAGTTATTCTTTTTATTTGATTAGCTGGGTCTTCTTGCAAAACCCATCTCCATTGGGCTTCTGGGCAATTCATATTTCCTTATAGGAGGGAGTGGGAAGAATCATCAGATCCTCACATGTGATCACAGCCATCCCATTCACACTTCTCTCAGGAAGAAATTCCTGCAATATCTACCATGCTGTAATTTCCTCCTTCAAGATCAGGTGGTAGAATTGCAAAATCATGTCAGAACTCACCTCAATAATATTCCAATAAACAGACTCTGATGCTTAGGTGTCCAAGGAGTAGGTAAAAACCATATGAGTCATGGAGACACCCTCAACACACTGTATTACCTCCATTGCAGTCGTGAGCCATCCACCCACAGCCACTGGCCTTCCTCTTTTGCATCTGAGAGCCCCATCCAGGCTTTGCCTTTCTTCTTACAAGTCCTCTGGAGGAAGCTCTGGAAGGAAAATCAGAAGTCATGATGGATTTTTGCTGTCATCTTCTCATTTTGTCCTCTTTGTATCTAGGTATAGAGTTCTGCTTACAGTCAGACACCAGCTTTCTACTGCAACAATGAGTGCAGGCTTGTGTCTAGATTGGATCAATACACACACACACACACACACACACACACACACACACACCTTTACACTCATGCTCATATATACATGCAATCATAGACATGAAGAGATCAGGCCAGGTATCACAAAGGCTCTCTCTGGGATGGAGAATTTAGAAGCAGTGTGTGGTGTGACTTGATAGATCTTAATTTTTGGCATCTGTCTCCCCTTTGTCTCACATGTTTGTTGAACTAAAATAATGGGCTGAGAAACTTGCTCACAGCTTCCTAACCTTACAAGAGTCTGGTGATTCCTAGGTTTTGAAGATTTCTTCAGAAATTTTCCCATCAGAATAATAAACTTCATGTGTGTGTGTGTGGATGTCAGAGCACAAGAATTGGTTCTATTCCTATTGTGTGAGTCCCAGATCCCTGAGCTTCTTAGCCAGCACTTTGACCCATCATATAGGCCACAAATCAGGACATTTAACACCAATGGAAGTGCTTATGAAACTCTGGTCAGTACTCCAAAAGACTCCCCTTCATATTAAATGTTCCCTAAAGCATGCATCCTTGTTCCCACTTTGTATTTATCTGAGTGTACAATTCTAACCTCTTCAAGTGTAGTAAAAAATACCTTATAAGAATTTCATCTAGCTAGCGTCATGTCCATAGAATAAGAAAGCCCAGCTCAACATACCTGCTCCTCATGACTTTTTATGACCACTAGTTGGGCTCCCATGCCTTGGCAGGCAATAACAGATTCCTTCCATTTCTTCAGGAATGTGGAGAAGAAGTAACAGTTTCCTTGGAAGAGTGTCCAGTCCCAGGGGCAGGGGCGGCATAGGTGGTCTGTTGATGGAGTGAGTCAGGTGGATATACAAAGTTATCAATATACCTGTATCACTTCAGCCTTTCAAGTCCCTGAGATTTGGCCCTCTTCCATCCTTGAAACTGCACAAGGGGACCCATTTCCTTATACACTCCTTGGTTTTTTCTTGTATGTGTTTTGTTCATGCATGTGCACATGTGTTTGTTTGTGCACTGTTCTGTATGTGTGTGTGCAAGTGGAGGCCAGAATGGATGTGGAGATTTTCATCCATCACTCTCATTATTTTTTAAAATTCTTATGTATATGAAACAACAAAAATGAAATTTAACAGGCTATAAATTTGAGAGAGTTCTGGGTGCATAAAATAGGAAGGCTGACATAGGGTGGTAGGGAAATTATGCAATAGTATTTTAACTAAAAATTTTAATTAGAAATATATTTTTATTTAATTTTGATTATTTGATCTATGCAGACAATATCTTTTTGGCTTGTTCATTTTGGAGATTATATTTTAATTAAATAATTTCTTACTTTCATTTCCTTCTTCCAAACACTCCCAAATAGCCATTCCACTCTGCTTTGAATCCATGGTTTAAAGTGAAAGTTGTTGCATGTATATCTGTTTCACTTGATATCTTTTGATCAAATACACACCATTCCCTCTCCTCAGGTTCCTGTCAGAACTACCCTATCACACATTCCTGTCAACTTCTTCAGGCACTATTGTATTAGGGTACTGAATCCAGTTACTTACTGCTAGCCAGGATAGCTATGCCTGGCTTCTGTCTCTGTCTCTGTCTCTGTCTCTGTCTCTCTGTCTCTGTCTATTTCTGTCTCTATTTCTTTGTCTCTGTTTCTGTCTCTCTTTCTCTCTATGTGTTTATCTCTAGCTCTTTCACTTTTTTCTTACTTTTAAACTTGTTCCCTCTGAACCTAGTGATCCTAGTTTTGGCTAAACTAACAAATGAGCACTGGGGTATGCCTGTACCCCACCACTGCTGTGTTAGGGCATGTGTAGCTATGCCCAAATTCTCTGTGGTATGGCAGATCCAAACTCAGGTCTTCATGGTTGTGTAGTAAGTATTTTATTCACTGGGCTATCACCCCAGGGACAGTTATTTCTCTCTTAACTTCCTGACTCTATTCCCTCCAAGATAATCCAGGGGGCCTTGGTCACAGCTCCTGTATACAGATGATGGCAGGAATTTTAAATGTCAGAACAGTCATTAGGAGTCTGGGTTCATTGAATGTCTTCTGTGTGTATTCCTCAGTGTGTCCAGTAAGTGCCATTTTAAATGTTAATCTGTGTTCCCATCCAATGATGTAGAATCTGAGGAACTGGAGACACAGTCTCTTCAATCATCTCATCCCCTGTGGAAACCCTTCCATGCTCTTGGAGATCCACTTTCTGGTCACTTACCTAGTCCAGCCTTCAGCTGGTCCAGTTTCTGGAGGATGTGTTGCTTTTCCTTATCATGCTCTTGGGAACTAGGAACCTCAGAGCCTATGTCAAGAAAAGACAATGAAAACATTAAATGTTGATAAATCTATGAAGAGAGGAAGCATTGGTTCAGGAAAGGAGATGACACAGAATCATCCTTCAGAGGTTAGCGTTCTTAAAAGGGCTTCCAGACTAAGACCAGGCCTCTAGTTTTGAAAGCCTTTATAAATAAACCACAATTATGATAAAAACAATAAAACAGGTTCTTTTTTATTAGGTATTTTATTTATCTACATAACAGACGTCATCCCCTTTCCCCATTTCTCTTCCCTAAAACACCCTATCCCATCTGCACTCCTTTTTGCTTTTACACCATTTTAATTACATGTAAGTATTAAGGTCAGTTCTAGGATGAGGAACAAGCAGTACAATAGATGCAAATAGTCAAGGAACAAGCAAGACAATAAACACAAATAGTCAAAGAACAAGCAAGGCTATAAACAAAATTCCATGAACTCTCACTGTTCCTAAGGGTTTATCAGGATGACAAAAATATCTGAGCCAAATTGTTGCTGTACTAGCCCAAGGTCATTTTCATGTGTGGATTCTACTTCTTTGTTCTAGCAGAAATTTAGATTCCTGTCTGAAATTACTAATTTGTTCTAGCCTAATATTTGACTTTCTTTTACTTTCAGAGAGGCACAGAAAGTTTCACATCACATGATTTTCTCAGCATAGCATTGGTGACAAAGAATGTAGAGGAGATAGGCTTTATACTTGTGAGTCTGTGAAGCTATACACAGAAGCTTCTTAACTCTCTGACTCAGAGAGAGAGAGAGAGAGAGAGAGAGAGAGAGAGAGAGAGAGAGACAGAGACAGAGACAGAGACAGAGAGACAGAGAGAAGATATTAGGTATAATTTCTTCAGGCTGTGGTATCTGACCTTTAGGTGACCAGAAGCTCTCAATCCTTATCACAAATTTTTTTTTAAATTAAGTTGTGATTGACATAGAGAGTCACAACTTTTCAGTGTGCACAGAATAAGATCCTGTGAAAAGCTCAGCCACAGATAGGGCATCTCTAATACAAGTACTTCCAGAAGTTGATGTATCATCATGGGAGCGGGACAGAAAGACTGTAAGAGCCATAGGCAGTAGAAGACTGCTCTGAAACCATGTTTTCTGGGCCACACAGTCCTGTTGTTTATATGGACTCTCAGTTTTGTGATCGTAGTTCAAACCTGTACAAGCTCAAGCTAGACAAATTCCCAACACAGATAGAGAATGAGCACAGGAAGCCCCAACTCTAGCTGAGTAACAGCAGGAGAAGGCTGCTATGGGAGGAAGGGAGGATCCAGTAGATGCTCTTACATCCATGTACACAGAGAACCCTAAGTGTATTCAGTGGATTATAAAAATGAACAAACATGAAGTTTGGAGGGAAAAGTGGTAGAAAAGAGTAGAGGAAGTAGAAGACAGAAAGAAGGTAATGGACTTGGTCAAAACATTTTATTCCTGTGTAAAATTCTCAAATAATAAAATTTAAAGATAGGGCAGACCATGATCTAACTAACATGCATTGGGTTTCCAGGAACATTCTGTCCAAGTCCAAAAATCTTATTTGAATTTATCTCATTTGAAGATAAGGAGTCCAGGAAACTATAACTACAAAGGTAAATGGAGACAGACCATATCTTTGAAACACTTCCTTTCTCCCACACAGAAGTCTTGAGAGGATGCTTGGCTAGTTCCTAGAAGGCATGTAAGACCACAGTCCCAGCTTCAGAATCACCTCCACCCACATGCAGGGAGGCTAGAGCAGGAAGCTCTAGCATTACAGTTTCCTCACCTTTGACAAGGATAGCAGTGAGGAGAGCAGCCAAGAGCACAATGGAGATGAGCTGCAGCATAGTGATGAAACGCTCACAGTCCTGACACCCTGAGGAAAGAAAGTTGAGTGGTCCAGCAGCCCAAGGTTCCTACCACACTCTAAACCAGGGATAGCCTAGTGTCTTCTTTCTACACACAGGATTACAGATGCTCAGTCATCATTCTCCCACTGCTTAGGTTGTTCTGTCCATAATCCACAGCACACGAGCATCAGAAGTCTGTTTCCAGCTTCAGCTGTCTCAGGACTCTGCATTTTAATCCTCCAGTATTCAACTCTCTGGACCCGAATAATGCAGATCCTTAGTCCCTACTACCCCATGATACAGAAGTTCAGTTCCAAGATTCCCTGTCCATAGCAGGAGACTTCAGACCCCAGCTCTACTTCTTTAAGTCTCAGGCATTCTGTATCTACCCTTCCCCCAAAGAACTGAGGATTCCTGTTCCCCAGTATGAACCTCACCTAGTTCATGCTCCACTTAATAGATCTCACTTCTCCAACACAGTAAGGCATACTCATTTTTCACCTCTTTAAGACCCAGGAATCATGTTTTCACACTTCTCCTCTTTAGGAGCAAGGAATACAATCCCTGGTCTTCCCTTCCTCAGGAAACAAGTCTCTAGAGACCATCAGCTCCACTTTCACATGTCCTAGGATTCCAGGCTTACAAAATCAATGTTTTTAAGACCCCAGACTCTGCCACCTCTTTAGTTCCCAGGAGGCACATCCTCAAGCATTTATCTTTGTAAGACCCAACATTCCAACTTCACATCCTCCATTCCCTAGACATAAGAATCATACCAGGTCCCAAGGATGCAATACCATAGTTTCTCCGCCTCCAGGACTGAGAACTACCTCTTTTATTGTCTCTTTAGTACTTTCTAAACCTTTGTATGCTAATTCTTAAAGCCATATCCAGGTTGAAGTCCAAAGTTTCTTTGAAAGGCTACCACCCCTGTTCACAATCTCCTCCAGAGAATGGTTAGAGGATCAAGCAGAGCCTGGAAGGCTCAGTCCTGAACTGTCCCTTTTCAGTAATTCCTGAGCTCAACCTCACCCAAGGAGTGCAGATGTTCCTCCCTCTCTCGGTTGAAGACTCTCATGGTCACTGCTATCCACAAGTGTGCAGAATTCTGGTAACAGCAGTTTTTCTTTGCCACAACCTTTTCTCACTCCTCAAACCTATTCTCTCAACCAGGAAGAGAAAAAGAGAAGTGGTGACTGTCACCACATGAGCTACAGGAATGACGATTAGGATTAACCATAGATGATATGGATTAATTCTAGGGTTTTAAGGCAACAACAGGAAAGTTTAGAAGTCCAGAGTATTGTTCCATTCTTAGCTGAACAATCTCTTTGATGTCTTTAACAGAAAATATCTGAATTCAGCTAAAATATTCCCAGAATCTACACCAAGTTCTTTATATTCTACTACAGAGGTATCTGCTCATTCATGTTCATTCCTGTAGTACTCATAATAGCCTAGAATTAGAAGGACCTGTGGTGTCCATTGACTAATGAATTGATAATGATGTTTTTGCATATTTCCTATACATATAATTATTCCCATTGAATTTTATTTTTATATTACTCTCTTTTGTGTGATTGTGGAATCCTGTGTGTAATTGCAGACTTGGAAAGTGGAGACAGTGCCTGCCTAGAGCAAGTTGGTTGAAAAGCCTGGACAACTTGGAAAGTTCTGGGTTTGATTGAAAGTCCCTGACTCAAGGAATAAATGGAAGAACACTCAAGGATGATTCTCATTATCAACTGTAGGTCTCCATATTGACGTGTGCACATGCATATACCTCTGCCTAGACATATGCAAATACCATGCATATATACTTGTATTCTCCTTGCCAAAACATGGGAAAATGAAAATAGAAAAAAAAATTAACTTGGAAAATAAGACTCTTTTGTTGTGTCTCCTGGGCCTATAGTGAAGATCATCAATCACTTTTCCCAGTTCCCCTAGAAACCCATTATTAACAGTCCTGGGACTCCTTTCCCTGTTTTGCATTCATGCCAATGTCTAGTGATAGACTCTTGAGGTTGAATCATCAACGTTTACATTTGTTTAATGCTTGTGATGATTATAATCCAGAATTTAAAAACTGTCATAGCCCCATGTTGTCAGCCACAGAGGCCTGAGGAATTCCTTTTATCATTTAGGATCCAAATAATTTAAAACCAGGTCCTTGGCTTTGATGCAGAAAAGAACTTCAGAACATGGCAATATGAAATCTAGTTGGAGTTTCTTAAAAGTAAAATGGTGATTGGACAAGATGGCTCAATGTGTAGAGCCTTGCTTCAGGCCTGGCTTGAGTTGGATTCTTGGGATTGTTCATGTGATTGAAAGAGAGAACTAACTCTCACATGTTATCTCTTTATCTTCATACATTCTCCGTGGCTTGGCTTGTGACACGTGCACTCATTCGTGCTCAAATGTACACACATACACACACACACACACACACACACACACACACACACACATACACTGAATAAACCAATGAGTGAGGGAATAAATGTAACAAAAATAGTAAAATAGAAATGTGCTCAGGGAAGGAAAAAAGCATGCCCATGCGCTTCTTGAAGAATTTCAGCTAAGTCTTTTAATAGTGATTATAGAATTTTGGAAACTTTGGAATTTCATTGTTTTGTTTGGTTGTTGAGTTTCTTTGAAAAATTTGCTGTCTGCTAACTTCGAGTGTGCCTTTTAAGAGTTTTGTTTCCAAACTCTTATATTTTTTGGTTGTGAGCCTAGCTTTTAATGGCATCATCAGTCATAGTACTCTAGATTCAGAATTTGTAATGGTCTTCAGATCATATCAGAGAACATGCCAGTGATGTGCTAATATTGATCTTTTAGTGGCATAAGAGGAGTTGAAGAGATGGCTGGGCAATAAATGTGCTTGTTACACAGGCATGAACGTCTGAATTTTCATGAAGAAGGCAGGGAGGGACCACATCTGTGTTGAAGGAATTGTGTGTGTGTCTGTGTGTATGTGTTTTGACAGAATTTCTGAGCTTGTTAATGGCCAGCTCAGCTTTAGTTTCAGTTAGAAACCCATTCTCAAGGCAATAAGGTAGAAAGTGACAGAACAGTATACCTGACACACTCTTTTTATCACCCTGAGTGTGCACTGGTACATGTGTGCACATACTGTATTGCATACACGCAGAGAAGAGGATAATGTTTAACTTACAGGGAATAATTAATTTGTTGAAGAACTGTAGCTACTGACTGTGGAACTGCTTAAGGGTATCTTAGTTCTTGCCTTCTCCAGTGGACAGACTTTTTGCTCCAGAAGAGCATTCTGCCGCTTGAGGTCATCAATGTCTTGCTGGTTTGTACGGTTTTTCCTTTGCATGTACTGGATATACTCTGTTGCTTTGTCTAGGATTTGGGGCCAGGATACTTTCCCTCCTTGGAGTGATGGGACTGAGTCCTGCAAACTTTGAAAGCTGTCTTTGATGTGGTCCCTACATATCTTGGTTCTTTGCTGGGCATGGGCCTGGAACCACGAGACTCCAAGGGAGAAATGGCAGGTGTTCAACCATGTCTCCAGAACCCAGGGTCCTGACAAGTAGTCTAGTCTCCATGGACCTACATTGTTCAGTCATGTAGGCCATTACAGCCCCTCCCAAAGTGCACAGGTAGAGGGTGCGACTACAGGCCTCAGGCCCTAGAGAGATTAACATACTAATGAAGGCCAGAGGGATGAACTAATTAAGGATTCTTCCCCAGACCCTCCACCTTTCTCCCTCCCTATTTGACTCAGCTCTGCCATGAGTTTCATGGGGATACATCCAGATCCATCTACCATCTGCCATGAAAATAAACCCTTTTGGAACCAAGGACTTTCTCATGTCATTGGGGCCTCCTGTCACCAAAGCTTCCAGCCTTTGGAACTCCAGACCTTTCTTCTGTATGTGGGACCCGCTGGCCTGGAAAGCCTCCAGGACTCCACTGCAGCTTTTTCCCACAATTGACCTAGAATATTAAGATCAATCCTATGATGATTAATTTTAATTGTCAACTTGACACAAACCAGCAAGAATGATCAGAGCTGTTTCTTTAAGAGGTTATTAATTAATAAGGTTTAATAACCTCTTTAAAAGGTTATTAAATAACTTCAATTTTATAAATATACTAATGTATTGATTAATTTATTGCTGATTGAGCTGTTCTAAGGTGGGACATAGTTGAATCAAGTAGGTCAGTGTAGACATACACAGAAGATATATCTTGTCATTCCCTTTCCTTTTCATTTGTCTCCTTTTTCTTCTTTTCATCTTCCTCAGTTTATCCTCTCTATTCTCTTCTTCATCTTTTAATGAAATGTTTTATTGTCTCAGGGCTTCACACCTCCACACACTGTGTTTTAATCAAGTCCCCTCCATTCTTTCCACTCCAATACCCCTCTATCCCTACCTCTACTTTCCCCTCCCAACTTCATGTGCTTTCTTCTCTTTGAAAAAACACACACAGTGACAGCACTTAGTGCTTGGCTCTATGTGCATGAATTTAGAACCATCTACAATAGCATGGGTTGCTTCTTAGGGACAAAAATCCCTGAAGAACACAGACTTTCCCTTCCCTGGGGGCCATCGATTGCCTATAGATTCTTAGCTAGTGGTAGGGTTTCATGATCCCCTTCCTTGTCCAAGATGGGATTTAGTCTGACTTGACATTGTGCATGCAGCCACACTTACTTGAGTTCATGTGTATAATAGCTCTTTTATGTGGGGCAAATGATGTTTTGTTGAGAACAATCACAATCGATGACTATTACAATTTTTCTGCCCTTCTCTAGATGATGATCTCTGAGCCTTGGGTGGAGGAGTGATATAGATGTCCCATTTAGAGCTGAGAACATCAGACTCATATTCTCTGCATGCTTACCTGTTGCGTGTCTCAGTATTAGTATCATCTACTTATAAAAGCAGTTTTTCTGATAAGCATTGAGAGATCCAGTAATCTTTGAACACAAAGGTAAGAACTTAAGTACCAGGTTAATATTATGTCCATTTAGCAGAATAATACTATTAGGTACTTTTTTAGGCCTATGACCTATCTATCCAGAGGTTCTGATAATGCCACCAGGTTTGGCCCAGATAATGATGACCTCTTGTGAAATGGGCCTGAAATCCAATCACAAAGTGGTTGGTTATTATTATGGCATTCATACCAGTGGGCATGTCTTTCCAGGCCAGCCATAACTGAAGCTCTCAGAATTTATGGCTGGGTGAGATTAATGACTACTTTTTTCTCCTGGTAGCATTCATAGCATCTTCCAACACTGTGATTGCAGGCCTGTACAGATGAAGCAAGTTCTATGTCTCAACTGTGTGGTGTCTTCAATAATAGGGTCTTATTATCAAGTCTTGGAGGTAAGCAAGAACACATAATATCATGTGATATTTAGGAGCTTTTTGAGATTCACTGAAAACAACTCAAGAAAGTTAACCTATTCCTGGCACCTGACTTTTTATTTCTTAGCATGTGATGTATAGTAAGTCTTTGTTGCCCCCTTATAGAACAACTCCATTTAAACTCTTTCTGTATGTGCATATGTATATATTTTAGAAAGTTTTTACAGTAGTGTATTTACATTCTAAGAAGAACTTCATCAGAATTTGAGATGGTCATTTTCACAATGTTAATTCTATGAGTCTAAGAGCAGAAGATTTCCATTGTACAGTATCTTTTTCAATTTCTTTCTTCAGTGTCATAGTTTTCATTGTGCATGTGTTTTGCTTCCTTGATTAGATTTATTTTAAGATCTTTCTGAGGTGTTTGTCAATAAACATGTTTTTTTGATCTGTTTCTCTGTATGTTTGTATATTAGAAGGCACCAGTTTTGTGTTAATTCTGTACATTGCTATGTAATAAGTGTGTTTATCAGTTATAGAGTTTTCTGTGGAGTCTTCAGGCCTTTTTATGTGTAGAATCATATCATCTTTCAATAAGGATACTTTTACTTCTTTCTCTTTTATTTGTTTCCCATTTGCCTCCTTTTGTTTTATTACTCTAGCTGAGAATTGAAACACTATCTTGAACAGGAATACAGAGACTGGAATATCAGCCTTGTTTCTG